AGCACACCTCGCTTTTCAGACCGATGAGCTTTGTAACAATCGACACGTTTCAGAAAGGCAGGGCATAGAGGAGAAACAATAATGTACAGTATGTGGAAAATAATGTGTTTTTTTAACCTTAAACCGCATAAACACATTTCATTACACCAAATACACAAAATAATGTTCTTTTTAGCAGCATCATATGACCCCTTTAAGTTTTTCATTTGCTTGTATTAGAGAGCCAAATATTTTCTGAAGTGGTACTTGGTATAAAAAGTTTGAGAACCACTGGTTTAAAGAAATAAAATGAAATCCTGCTTTTTAAGAACTTTTCAGTAAACCATTTCTTCTTCCCCCTTGTAGAGTCATCGAGGATCCAGCTTATTATTGGCAAATTGGTAAGGAATTGTTCATCTGCTACATTGCACTGTCACTTCTGGTAGAGATTCATTGACCTTTTGTGATAAGTTTTTATTTTACTTGGTTTAATAAAAATGTACTTAATTTGATTTTACTTGTTTTACTAAATGCTCTGAAAAAAATGCTTCTGAATAATTTGTTAATATTGTAAACTTTCATCTGAATACATTAAATAAGTGTTTAAAAGGTGTTTTTGTTTTTATTTATACAGGACAGTACAGAAAGCGCACAAGTGGGAGAGAGAGGAGGGGACAGCATCAGAAAGGACCTAGAGTTGGGACACTTTCAAGGATCACCCGAAGCACAACCACGCTATATGCACAAGGCTGTTGGTTCTAACATTTTAGGGTACCCCTTAATTACCCCTTAAAAATTACGTTTCGCATTCCCCACGTTAGAAATTGCGTTCCCCCCTCAAACGCCGGGCCCTTGGAATCGTCCTACTCACCGGTGAATCAACGTTAAAATGCCGGCTGGGTTCTGACATCATTTCAATCTGTAAAGGGTCTACTTTTATTTATGTATTTTTACAATAAGAAAAAAACTATGCCTTTGTAAAATAAATTAAAACAAACAGGATTCACTTTCAGCTGTCTCTGTTTCCTTGAACTCATGGTGCGGTCATAAAAATGAAACAAAACAGGCTTGTTTTTGTTTCCTTTGTTTTGTTAATTTGTTAATTATTTAACTGAAACATATTTTGTGTATTTATTTTATTCATATCATATGTTTCATTTTCATTTCATTATTTATTTATAAAGCACATTTAAAAACAACCCAAGGTTGACCAAAGTGCTGTACAGATCAGGAAGCTCAAGTAAAAAACAGAATATATAACAATCTATAAGACAACATACTTTTTTTTTTTTAAATAATACATTAAAGACCCACACTAAGAAGATGTGTTTTAAGTTTTGATTTAAAAGAGGAGAGTGATGACACCATTCGGATCGATACCGGGAGGCTATTCCAGAGTTTAGGGCCTGCTATCGCGAAAGCGCGGTCTCCACAATGTTTTAACCTCGAGCTATGAACAGAAAGTACTCCAAAATTGCCGGATCTAAGTACCCTGGAAGGATTATGACAACGTAAAAGATTAGATAAATAAGCTGGAGCTAGGCCGTGTAATGCTTTAAAAACAAAAACTAAAAATTTTTATTCTATTCTCAGTTTGACTGGTAGCCAGTGCAGAGAAGTTAAAATGGGAGAAATACGATCGAATTTGCGACTACCAGTCAGCAGCTTGGCTGCAGCATTTTGAACCATTTGAAGGCATCCAATCGATGATTGGTTTGCTCCATAATAGAGTGAATTGCAGTAGTCAAGGCATGAAGTAAAAAATGCATGGATGACTATTTCAAAGTTCTTTAGAGAAAGAAAAGGTTTAACTTTTGCGAGACGTCGTAAATGATAAAACATGACTTAACAACAGAATTAATCTGTTTATCGAACTTGAGACCTGAATCAAACAACACACCTAGATTTTTCACACATGGGGAGACATAAGAACTTAAGTCACCAAGGACAAGATCACCTAAGTCATAAAAATCACTTGGACCAAACAGTACTACTTCGGTTTTATTCTCACAATGGAAATGTGTGTGAATAGAGTATTAGTGTAAGCGAGATTAGCGGCCAGACAATTGTGGGTAAGCCATAATTTTGCTTCCTGTAAACACGCCAGCAGGACCTCTATGGAGCTTGAATCATTATGTTTAAGGGGCAGGTATAATTGGGTGTCATCAGCGTATAAGTCCAAAGATACTCCATATTTTAAAAAGATGGAGCCCAATGGCAGCAGTTGTAAAGATAACAATGTTGGAGCAAGAATAGATCCCTGTGGAACACCACAGAAGAGATGTGCTGCTGAGGAAGTGTGTTTTCCAATGCATACAGAAAACTTACTGTTAGTTAAAAACAGGTGCCCTGAATGCCTACAAGATTTTCCAGTCGGGAAATAAAAATTGCATGATCAACCATATCGAAAGCTGAGCTAAGATTCCTAATTCCTCGTATGTGTAAACATACCTGGCAATAAAAAAAAACTCATTCTGATCTAAAAGTACCAAAGCAACAGCACTCCCATTATCTGTAGCCAGCATAATGTCATTAGTGACTTTCAATAGAGCAGATTCGGTTCTGTGAAGTTTTCTGAATCCTGACTGAAAAGTATTCTATAGTGAATTAGATTCCAGAAAATAATGTAGTTGAGTAAATACAACCTTTTCCAAAAATTTTTAAATGAAAGGAAGATTAGAAATTGGTCTGAAATTACCTAAATCAGACACATCAAGATTTTGTTTCTTCAAAAGAGGAGCGACTGAAGCATATTTTAGGCAGTTAGGGACCGTACCAGTTCTCAAACACATGTTAATAAAAAACAGGAGATCAGGCCCTATAGTATCAACAGTTTGCTTAAAAACGTGTGATGGAATACTATCATAAGAACAAAAAGTAGGTTTCAGATGATCAATAATATATTTACAGGTCTGAAGGGTAATTAAATCAAACATGCTCCAAATAGAAGAGCACCTAGTTAATTCAGGAAGAGCATGAGAAGTCACCAGTGAATGTGGTCTTGACCTTGTTGTCTTCTCAACAAAAAAACGACAGAAAGTTTTCACATAGGAGATCAGACACGTCAGAGAAAATATGAACAGCAGGATTTAAAACAGCATCTATAGTTGAAAATTCTACATGAAAACTCTTGGTCTATGGTGATTTTTTGAGACAATTTCAGAAAGAAATTTAAATTGAGCAGACTTAACAGCTTTCTGGAAAACAGAGAGAGACTCCCTTAAAATGTCATAGGACACCTGAAACCTGTTCTTATGCAATTTGCGTTCTGCTTGTCTACAATTTTGTCGAAGTGAATGAATAGAGTCATTAAATCAAGGAGCAGATTTTTTTGTATAACGCTTCATCTTCAGAGGAGCAATGTTGTTAACGATGCTCAGGCAGGTGTAATCAAAAAACTTAAAATATGCATCAGCGTCAGAGCTTTCTGAGAACCGGTTTGTGATTGACAATTCATCAATTGCCTTGTAAGCAGTAGCAAAGTCCTCGCGGGCTGTAGGAGAAAAGTAGCAAACCCAGCGGGCCTGAGCAGATGTAGTATTGGTTGACGAGGAAGGGCAGTAGTGAAAGTCACAGAATTGTCATTTTATTTAGGTCAGTCAAAGCATTTCATTACAATTCAATTGGTGTGAGAGCCACAGGGCGGAAATAATTTAAGGAGACTGGATTTGGCTTCTTTGGAACAGGAATGATGATGGTGCTTTTGAGGCAAGTAGGCACTTCTGCCTGACTGAGGGAGATATTAAAAACATCCTTCAACTGCAACATTCAGGAATGCCATCTGGCCCTACAACCTTACATGTGTTAACTCTGACAAGGGCCTTTTTTACTTCAGTTTCTGACACATGGTGTGTCTGGTCGCTGGGAGATCATGGAAGCATCTTTGCCTGAATGGTGTTGGCCTCAAAACGTGTGTAGAAGTTTACATTTACATTGCCTCACATTAGAGCTCAGTGGTACATAGACAGGTGTGATGATGACAGCCGTCAGCTCCCACGGCATGTAGAAGGGTCGGTATTTTACAGTCATTAGCTCTACCTGCGGAGAGCAATAAGTACCACCTCTGCATCTTGGCACTACAATTTGTTGATGTACACTGCCAGGCCATCTCCCCTTAGCTTACCAACTAGCGAGGTTAACAGTTATAGTACCACCTATGGTTCGATCTTCATAAAAAGTTTTGAGTTTTCATTTAGGATTTATAGGCTTTTGGATATATTTGGCCATGCCTTTTTTTATGACCCTGTTATAGCTAACCAAAATGTAAAATTCAAAATAGAGAGTCCAGAGAATTGTACTGCAGTGGTTTTGTTGAGGTTGAGCAAAAAACCTAGGACTAGTTCACAAAGATAGGTTTTTTAAATAACCTCAAATATTTGATGAAATATTGTGTGTATGTGTGAAATGCCATATGATCTCCCTTTTCACATCAGAAAGGCATTTATTTTCAATTAAAATGAAGGAACTAATTGAAAAGTTTAAAATAACCTCACATGTGTTTTCAGTTAAGGTTAGGGTTAGGTGTAGGGAGGGCTTTATTGTCCCAAATCAGCTCCATTTAATCATTTAAAAATATATAATTTATTAAATACGTTATTATTACATGCTGTTTTATAATGTACTACAATAGCGAGGTGCAGATATCTGGCACTATTTGCACTAAGTAATATAAATAGCATCTAACTACTATTATTGCAAAGAAAATACTGCTATTTTTACATAGTGTAAATAGCATCTATCACTATTTGCACTTAGTGCAAATAGCCACTGCCTTCAGTAATAGTGAAACTGGCCCTTTCAAACATTTTGGCATCTTGTTGTGATGTCAAATTAAACTTTTTTTTTTTTTTGATAATTATTGATATTCACTCTCCAGAGAATATTTGCACTGGTTTGGTTCCAATAAATCAGGTAAAAAACATATAAATTGATGTAACATATAAATTGAAAACAAAATTGGTCCTATCAGGGAGCCCTGTGGAACACCACAATTGTAAAAGGGGAGGATAAATCATCTCCAACTGACAATACAAATGTCCTATTTGACAAATAAGTACCAAAGCAGTTCAACTCCCTCCCTGAAACTCCCACCCATCTATTTAATGTATCAATTAAAACTGAATAATCAACTATGTAAAAGGTTGCAGTCAAATCTAACAAGATTCAAACAGAACACTCTCCAGCATCCTCTGCCATCAATAAATCATTTGTCATTCTTAAAAGTGCAATTTCTCTGAAGCCTGACTGATATTTCTAAAAAATATATTTTAATTCACAACCTCCAACAGTTGTTTAACTATTGTTTTCACTATTATTTTTTTAATAAAATGTAAATAAAATATTGTTCTATAAGCAACCACAGGTTCCCTTTCAGTCGGTCACTCTCGACGTCACGTCGGAGGACCGACAAAATTGGGATCTCGCTTAGAGGGACCAATCTACTTCGAGTGTAAACTAAACAAGCCAATGCACATTGGCATGCGATTATTGCATCCAGCTGCTGCTGATCACAGCGTGAGTATAAGTAGGCAGCAGGTGCAGCGCATATTCAGCTTTTCGCTTCGGAGCCGAGCGATCACATCGTTCCGCTCCTGACTACTCTACGGAGAGAAGACTGAACGAGTTCAGCACGCTCTTGGAGAGCTCTTCGTGTTGGCGGACGGCGCTTCAGCGGTGGTGGTTTCCCGTGTCGAGTGGGTTGCACACGTCAGGCTGCACTACCCCCTGTTCGTGTTGCTAATAATCATCTCCCCTGTGCGCCTCAGCACGCTAAAAGAGCTTTTTCCCCCAAAAGAGACATTTCGGGTGCGTCTTTCTAAAGACGACGTTGCTTGGCAAACTT